TTTTATCAATACATAAATTGTAACAAATAAGGACTGTTTTTAACAATCATTTGTCCATCACAGCAAATCAGTGGTATTAAAATGTGAAATTTCTTTGCAATGACTGGGCCTTGATATAATAATGAGGTATTAGTTTTAGTATTAATCCAGGATAATCAAGGATAATCCAGGATACTATAATCCAGGATTTAAAGAAATTCTGTTTCTTGATTTCGAGGGTAAATGAGGCTAATGCAACATGACCCTTTATTCAAAGCGAGACTAACGAACTACACAACAAACCTGTGTGAAAATATTCTGCCGATAAGTGGATTCGTAGCCTTGGATCTGCGGTGATAAGCCACTGGCAGCGGAGGTGGCTACCTAGCTTGGTGTTGTATTCGTAAAAAATGGATGCAGAGCGATTTTCTACCTTGTACATAACCTGGCCTGTATTGCAGACTGCAAAAAAGATTGATTGATTTGATGATATCATTAAAGGAAAAAGGGAAAATCAGTAATTGCATGTTATTTAGTAATCACCCATTGATGCATCATTAAATATTCTTGAATCCACAAACCTTGTTTTATTGTGAGTGCGTTGTAATCTGAAAACAAAACACAACTAAAGTTTAAAATGCAATTTGACAGATATGCATATCTCTTATAAACTCTTAAATCCCCTTAAAAGAAAAGGAATCTCCCCACGATGACTACCTAAATGGAAACTAGACGATACATCCAAACATTTCCACTTCATCTGTTATCGTGATCTTACTTTCTAGATACATTGACAGATACCATAAACATAGCTGCAAGACAAGAAATTACTCTGCAAGAAGGTCGAGGCTTTTCCTCTTGATCTATAAGGATTTAACAATGTTAGGTTGCTGTATAAATTCTCCGTCGTTAGATCCTGATCTCCTTTTTTAAAAAGGGCACTTAATCCTGAAGAGGGAGCTTTTTTCGAGGAAAGTGACACTTTTTGTTCAAAAAGATGTATATTCTCTCCAAGATTGAGGCATTTTTAAAAAGTTTTTAGCTAAAAAGTGGGGATTGGTAGGGCCCTTACATCTATGTCCTATGATCGCATTAGGCAAGAAACTCTATATAGGACAACAATAATTTAAACGAAGGTCTGAAACAAAAAATCAGACATACTTTGTATATTGTAGCATTCATCTGAAAATGATACGTCATCAACAGCAACTTCAATTTGATATGAATCTCCACGCGTGAATTTCAGCTTTATCTGTAAACAAATGCAGTAGAACAAGATTAAAATGAAGACGGTTTCGCACATGCAGGCTTACTCATAAAATTATGGGACACTAAAAGGTCTGGGCGGTCCTGAGGCAATTTTGCAAACGTCCATATTTGCTGACAATAAACTTTAGAAAATTTTAGTCAATTAGCTTGAGACACTAGCTCCCAATTGTCAATCACATTTTTTTACCTTTCTT